TCTCTCTCTCTCTCTCTCTCTCTCTCTCTCTCTCTCTCTCTCTCTCTCTCTCTCTCTCACTCTCTATCTTCTCTCTCGCGGTCCGTTTTTTTAATCTTTTAATATTATATTTTGGAATCAAAAAAAATTCTAGAATCATAATTTTGTCTTTCTCTTTTCCACATTCGAAGCTTTTAAAAATGAGTTTTAACCCGCCCGCGATGAAAATCATAATTACTTGAATGAAATACGACAAATTATCAAAAGCATGATGAAAAGTTATAAAAAAAAAAGCAAATTTCTTTCTTTTTTTTTTTATAATCAAGAAATTCATATTATCCAGTAAAATCAGCGAATCCAAGAGTAATTACAACGTATGTAGCTTTACGGTAAGAAACGATGAGCTGCGAAAAGCATATTTATACTCGCGCACACAAAAATCAGCGCAAACGTTTCAACGTTACCGATGTAGGCGAATACTTAAGGTTATACCTATACATACTGTGAGACGAGCTTGCGCGAGCAATAAAGAGAGGGAGAAAGAGACAGAGAGACAGAGAAAGAGAGAGAGAGAGAGAAAGGAGAGATCGTAGTAGGTTAATATTTCTTTGAGGTGCAACGTAGGAAGTTGAAAGTTACACATAACCGAATGAGAGAGAGATATCTCGCGTGTTGACTCGGCAGTCGTAATTACTCTTGTTCAGGTCATGGATAGACTTTGTGTATTCTCATTGGAGATCGAGATATACATAGAACGAAATGAATGCGTCGGACGTACCCAAAATTCTCGTCTATTTTCTCTCTCTTACATACATATATACATACCAGAGCGTACACTATCTTTCACAGTCGCGTACACACACACACACACATATATACAAAAACACACTCACTTAATTTGTGCTTTCGGAAGATCAGACTGTAAGAGAAAAGGAAGAGGTGGATTTGAAGAAGATTAGAAGCAAGGTTTCTCGTCGAACGAACGAAGGATAACGGTATTCTTCGTCTAACCTCTTTAATTAATAGTTAACCGGTGATTCATAGTGGATCGAGTCTTAATTGGACGTTATTCGAGTGTCCTCCTATTTACGCCGGCTGTATAAACGAGATATACGTTCTCGCAGGTGACGTTGAATTAATCTCGGTTATCGCGAGGCCACCGTTACCCTTGCCGTATCCTCTCTCCTTCTCTTTCACTAACTCACCCTCACCCTCACCCTCACCCTCTCTCTCCCTCTTGGTCTCTCTTCCTTCATCATTCGTCTTCTCTCTCTCTCTCTCTCACTCTTTGCAGTCCAATGAATCTCGACCAAGATTCAACTTGATTAACAGAAAATTTTCTGTCAGAAAAATATTTTCTACCCCGAAAGATGGAACGTAATACCTAGCCCCCCCCCCCATTCCTTGCCCCATCACGTAGTTACGAACGCGACTAACATAAGACAGTGAAAAAGACGTTACTCATTACTCGATTATGCACTGAATCTGAAGATTTATATAAACTCTCGCATTCACGTACCACGGATAAATGAATAACCGACCCAATGTCAACCTCACCCTCGTTCACATCTTTATCGTCGTAGTTGCAATAGTTGTGCTTGTCGTCGTTGTCGTTGTCCTTGTCCTCGTCCTCGTCCTCGTCCTCGTCGTAGTCGTCGTAGTCGTCGCCCTTAATTTGATTCATATGAATGCGTAATTTTAATAACCGTATTCATGTTACCGAGCTTTCTGCCATTCACGTCAGCTGAATAAACGAAGGGAGAGATGATGAGGAGAAGCAAGAAGAGAAAGAGGAGATGAAGAAGAAGGAGGAAGAGGAGGAGGAGGAAAAGGAGGAAAAGGAGAATACCAGTCGGAAATCTGCTTAAAAGATGGTTCTACGTCCAACTCCGAGAATAAAGATTTCTTTCTTTCTCTTTGACACTAAATAAAAGGTCGTAGACCCAAGGGATCAAGCAGCGTTGACTCGTAAAGACTGTGTGTCATAATTTATCTTACAAACGGAAAGAACCTTCTTCTATTTCTTATTTTTATACTTATTCGACTTATTTTTCTACTTATTCCAAGGAGAACGAAAATCATTTCGCGACTTCGTTTCAACGTTTTCTTGTCAAGAGAAGAGAGAGAGAGAGAGAGGGCAATAGTCAACGTTGACGTACATCGTCAACTCGTTAATATGAAAATTTAAGCTCGGGATCATCGAAATTCCTGCTTCATTCTCATTCTCTTCTGATTCTAACCTCGTGAAGCTGGATTTACTTCGATCTTTCACTCGCTAAGCCAACGAGTAATAATATTCGATGGCTTTTACCATCGCAAACAACTATTTCAATTTGCTTTTACTTTCATACCGGATGCGCTAAGTGAATTTTATTAGGTACTTTAGTATCTCTCTCTCTCTCTCTCTCTCTCTCTCTCTCTCTCACACATTCTCTCTTATCCATTTTTCCGTTCGTTCTGATAGGTAGTTTCTACTACTACCTCTGTTACGTGTAATCAAATGCGTGTTTTTCATAACTAACGCGTTTTTATCTTTTATCAACATAAAATGGGAACGAAAGAGAGAGAGAGAGAGAGAGAGAGAAATAGATGAGAAGTTCATTCGCTTTACCGTGCAAGCAAATCGTTAAGATTTTTCTAATCGTCTTTTACAAGCTCAAAGAAACACGAAAAGCTCTTTGCGGTTCGCGTGCACAAACAAATTCGCGTGACTCATTTAATCTTTCCTCGAAAGATCAAAAGTTTCTAACATTTTGTAAAGGGTAATAGAACGTTGTATGGTCAAGTTAAAGGAAACATTCTAACGATCGTTGAAAAGCTCTAGTCGACTAGGACCGTTGCGAGAAACGTTGGTTCTCGATACGAGAAGGTAATTACGAGTAATATCTCGTTGGTGCTCGTCGAAAGAGGCTTATCGTTCTTATTTCTTTTTACGGTTAATCGTTCGGAAAAAAAAAGAGAAGTTAGGGGATGTATGGAGGAGAAGAAGAAGAAGAAAAAAGAGGTAGGAAAGAAAGTTCTTTAACTTTTTTTGGTTTTTTTTTTTTTTTTTTTTTTTTGTAGATTTCTTTCAAATATTCCTGCTAGAATTTGCGAAACCTTATCGATTTATGAAGATTAACATTTTTTCCCTTTCCCTCTTAAATGGACCTGCATAAAATCGTAGAAATTTTTCCAACGAACGTTTCAAGAATAAGAGAGAGAGAAAAAAAAAACAATAAAAACCAATAGAGAAAAAGTAGATGAATATACGAGACATAGTCAAATCAAAAAGAGAAAGATGAAGATAGAGATAGACGGAGAATAACTAGAACAAACGAATGGAATGGGGTTGTGGCGGGGGCGGAGGGGGGGGGGAGGGAACAAAAAGGTAATACTGAGTCCAGTATCGGTCACCGAACGAACCTAAAGTAAAAAAGTTTAGCAATCGTGTATTCAAATGTAACTCCGTTTTGTGCGAACAACGTATCGCCCGGAAAAAATTTCTAATGAAAAAAAGAAGTACGAGGGATCGTTACGTTACCTCTATGGGAAGAGTTTCCCTTCCATGGATATAGAGAAAATCGATTTTATTAATTCGACCAACATCACGATTTTTTCTTTTTTTTTTCTATTACATTTCATTTCTCTATTGATAAAACGAGTATTTTGTAACTATTTTTGTCTCGCTCTCTCTTTTTTTCTTTTTTTTTTCTTTTTTCCTCTCTTTCATACTATTCTAGTCAAAGAGAGATAGTATTATATCAAAACTGTAAAATAATATAATTAACTCTAAAAGCGAGCTTTTAGACTCGCTCGATATCTTACTATGCATTCAACGAATTTATTTGCATGCTAGAGTTGAAAAAAAAAAGAAAAAAGTGAAAATCAGAAGAAAATGAATAAAAGCGAATGATTCGATACGAACGTCGTCATCGTCGTATATATATGCATCATATATATATAGGAACACATATTACTTACATATTATGTTAATATATATGATAATACATATATATAAAGCACAATTATCCAAACTAATTGAGTGAAATATGGCTTCATATTTCTCTCGCAAAATACGATAATTAAAACGATTATTATTACAATAATAAATATTTTAACGTAACAAAAAAACGAATAATCAATCATAATTTTTGGCTATAACAAAAAGAATAAAAAAAAGTCAACACAATTAAACGAGATAGATAAAATTATTATGAAAATATTTAATCGTCGACGATATCGTAATTTCGTTTTTCGAACAATAATGTTGACGATAGATATGTAGTACGTGCCTTACTGAGTGAAACACGTTTCTACAGTTTCGAAACTGCGAGACTAAACGATCCACGGATAATCGTGATTCTCTTTCGCATAACGAAAGCACGAGAGAGAGTGAGAGAGAGAGAGAGAGTTTTGAACTGTTTTCGATATTATGCATGAGTACCCCTGTGTGAATGAAGATCGTCGAGGATGAAACATTTCATAATAAACGTTTTCCATTACTCAGAAAATTTCTATGGGAGAGAGTAGATCGTTAACGTGATTTTCTTCAAGGGCCGAACTCAAAAGATATCTCAACTTTGTCATTACAGTGACAATGACGGATGTAGAAGCAGTGGCAGGTGGGAAAGCTAAGTTGCCATGCGACGTGGAACCACCGATCTCGGGGGACAAGCTACATCTAGTTATTTGGTACAAGGACGAGTCAGACACACCAATATACAGGTAAATTCCACCTTGGCATTCCTTATTCCACTCTAGCTAGCTAGCTAGTAAGTAAGTAAGCAAGGAAGTAAAGAAGGAAGGAAGTAAGGAAGGAAGGAAGCTTTGCACAAGCTAAATCAGCTCTCAACCCATCCTTGCTTTTCTCCAATATCACGATGGTAGATAGTGAAAAAGAGAAAAAAAAAGAATGAGAAAGAAATGGAGTAGTAAAAGGACATAGCTATGGAAAATAAGAGGAAGGAATCCGACTTCGATCCAATAAACTCGGTTCCTATAAGAGAGGTAGGCAGGCGTGACGAATGAAACAGAAAATTCCATTTTCTTCATGCATCTCGGTATTACTGATATTCCAAACGAATTTCACTAGCTTATCTTATTTATTCTGTCATAATGTATAGCAGGATTATCCGCGATCTTTTAAAAATAGTCAAGATAGACAGGTTTACGGAGTGGTAATTTGTAGGGGGTTGGATAATCATCGAACCGAGACTCTTCCACGGAAATCGATTGGAAAACTCGGAAAAGTCGTTGTTGCTTGGACGTTGATGAACGGCTAAAGCAATTCGCCGATCTTTGTTCTTTGACGCGGACCGTTAATCAGTCCAATCGTTCGTGTCCAAAGCACTGGACCGAGTATGTAACGGCAGTACCACTGTGAAACGGACGCCATTATCTATGGAATCTCTCAAGGCTGCAGTATTCGCGCACTCGAGCACGCACCAAAGCGATCCGAATCGAAGTCAATCAGCGCGTTCGGTTCGGTTCGTTCAAATTCCTCCTCATGGAAACTGAAAACTGGTCTTAACGATCTCACTTGATTCGACGTCGATCGCAGACATTCGATAACACTCGTTAATTACTAACTTGAAATATCTAAACGTTTATTAATTATTTCCCCCGCATCTCAAATTTCTTTTTCTTTTTTTTTTTTTTTTCCAAACGAAATTTTCACGCGAGTGTTTTTAGTTGGAAACAAATTTTTCGAAATAAATGTAATGTACGAGATATTTAAAAAAAAAAAAAAGAAACTTTCCAAGTATTATAAAATAATTAATTTTGTATGCGCGAGATCGAAGAGAATTATCCTTTGATCGACAGTATAAATTGATAGAAAATTGTTACCGTGCGGTATTAATTGAAAGCTCGTTTAATATGATTATCAAGATTTAATAATGCGTACATGGGCGTGCTTATGTTAATGCTCTTGTATAGTCAATGCTCGTTCATTTTCATTTTATGTTAATCGTTCTTTTTGGTAAAAACAAGGGAAGAAAAATTTCTACGTGATTCGAATTATAGGAAACGTTAATTATCTCGTCGAACATGAAACCCAAGTAAAGAAAACTAGTTGATATGTCGATAATAAGAAAAACAAAAAGAACAATGAACGAACGAACGAACAACTAGGAGTTCTGGGTTTCTTTTAATTACAATACGATCACAATAAAAACTTTATTATTATATTTTAACGATAATACCACGAGATAATAAACACGACAAAAATATTAACAAAAGTAAAAAAGAGAAATATAAGTACTCTCTCTTATAATAAAAAAATCTATACAACTATACTACGTAGAGAGTTTATCTTTTCCTATAGGATTCTCACAATCGTTTGAAAGTTGGCTATCGAGATAAAGAGAGCAAACGCTACCACGTGCGGCTAGAAACACCATAGTTTTTACCAAATACTACATACCCGTTACTCGCTATAAATCCGATTCTTATATTTTCGCTCGCTGGCGCCTGCTTCCCGTGGTTCCTACAATGTTATTTATAATACTCCAGGTCGTTCTCTTTTTCACCACCTTTTTGGTACATATATGTACATATATGTACATATATATATATATATATATAT